ATTGCCACTTAGTCACGCACCAACGTGAGGCTTCCGTGCATTGAATGAAGGAAAGATGAATATGGAATAGTGTGGAAAAGCGTTAATGCTCTTGAGAAATTTAATTATTCTTATTTTTCTAAGAGGTTGTTTGGCATGTTAAATTGGATAAGACATGAGAGGGAAGTGTTTGTATAAAATATTCTAATTGTGTAATATTATAAACTATTATATTTTATTTAATAAATTTTAACTCAATTTTGAATAAAAATAAGAAATAGAAAGTAAATTACTAAAAATATTCTTTTAATTCTTGGCAATAGTAAATGGTGGATAGTGGACAATAGCGGATAAAAGAATCTAATGACTAGTAGTAATGGTGGTGGTAGGTAACGGTGGTTGGCAAGAGCCGTGACGGCCAACAATAGATAGTAAATAGTCGATAGATACTATATAATATTATTTAATATAATGAGAGTATATTTTAATAATTTAACATGTAAGTAATAACACAATATTATTTAAAAAAATTAGATAAAATTAAATAAAATTATTTTTTATCTTTAAAATAACTTATTTAAATTTAATTAAATAATTATTCAATTTAAATTTTTTATGAACCACGTTATAAATCTATTAAATATTATATACTCTTTTTCAATCTATAAAATGAGCCCCTAATAGAAAATTACTATTAGCTCTTAGGGACGCGAGTGAACTCAATCGCCAGTGGCAATCAAAATTCAGAAAAAGAAAAAATAAAGAAATTAATTTAGGGCCATTGAATTTCAACTGTCATACAATGTTGCCGTTTCCTAGAAGTTCTCCAACTTGCCAACAATTTAACCGTCCGTCTTCCGGCCCGTAGCCCAGATGGGACCTACTCAGCACGCTCCTTCCACACGTTTGGCTGCGCGGCTGAAGTCCGCAGAAGCCGTTTGCTACAAACTAAAACAAATGGAGGGCCCTCGTTGTTCGCGAGCCACGCCTTTGTCCAATCCGACGGGTGAACTCAACTCAACGTCAGAGTACCCTCCGCTGGTGCTCTTCTCTTCCCCTGATATCAAGCCGGGGGGAGGAAAGAAAGCGAATTGATTGGTACGGCGACAATATCCTCGGTCTCCCTCAACCCCACCCGTGATAAGTTATAAAGTGGCTTCTATTTTATATTCATTAATAAAAGACAACATTTTACATTCGGGGTCTGGATTTATGTCGGCCGAATCTTTTGTTTAAAAATGTAATTTAGATGATAAATTTATATGGCTGGTAATTTATTTTTATTTAAAATTTTTATATTGTGCTATCAGAAAAGGATTTAGAAAATTTTATGAATGGTAAAAATGATTTTTAACCAAAATTAATAGGAATAATTTAGTTCTTTATAATATTTAGTAAAGTTTTCATAAATTTAATTAGAGTCAACGAAGGAAAATTATTTTTTTCCTAATTTTAGTAAGAGATAAATAATTTCTCATAATTTAGTAGAAATAAACTATTTTTCATATTTTTAGCCAAAAGAACTTAATTTAAATTATAATTTTGAATAAAGCCCACTTATTTAATACCAAGGCTAAATTCACTAATACTGTTTCAAATGTTATTAGAGTTTCTAACACAGCAAATTTAATCCTAGTACCAAGTACAGGAATAGGGCACGTGCCCCCACTATAAACATGATAAATTCATGTTATGGCAATATCTTTTTTATATTGGGTCTTGTCCAAGTTTTCATCTGTTTAGTATTAATTATTTTCTATTTTAGGTACAAAAATGTTATACAATGCCATTTCTTTTTTGGCAGGAGAAGAATATGATTGATTAATAAATTTGTTCTATAGCTTTCATAAAATTTGGCACACCTAATCAGAATTTACGAAATTTCTTGGAATATGAATTTTTAAAACATTTTTTTCAAAAATTTCATATTCATTCTTTTCAATTTTCTTTTTCTCAAAAACTAAATAAAGTATTTATTTAAAAAAAAATGAAAATCAAATACTATAGAACGATGATCACAAATGGGTATGGCTGCATGTTTCCACTTCTCCTACCAGTGACATTATATTCATTTTATACTTGACAGTGCCATGGAATAAGCTGTAGATAGATATTTTGGTTGGGCAGCCCGAGAATTAAAAAATAAAAAAAAAATAAAATAAGAAGAGTTGAAGGAGATATGAACGGTTTGTATCAAGGATGCGATGTTCGAAGAAGCAACATGCTTGAATGAAAAGGCAAGAGACAGACGTGCGGGCTTAATATCTTAAAGGCCAGCGGATGGTGAGAGGTGATCATTGAAAATAAAATTTAAATGGTAGAAGTTAAAAAGTCACTATTAGTGGAGGATGGCTGCTAGGTAATTATTCAAGATGCTTCGCATATTCCAAGCTGTGTCCAACTTCTTTCAAACTTTTTCCTAGTGGGAGATTAAGAATGTCCCGATCAAGATTATTTAAATGTGAACTGTATCAATCCTACCATCTTCGAGGAAGTTCTGTGGCAAAATGATAAGGTTCAAGAAACCCTAAATTGGCATGTGGAGAATATTTTCTGGCTGGATTTTTCTTTCTTTGGTTCTTTTCTTTCTTCTTTTTGGTTGCGGCGATAAGATTAGAGAACAAAGATGATAAGAACATGAAAGCATAATTAACAACTTGTAAGCGGATCAAAAATTTAGAAATACAAGAAAACAAAATGAAAAGATTGAGAAAATATGTTGCTTGTTCCATTGTTTGTCATTTTTCTTTGATTTTTAAGTGAGTTCAAGATAGAACTTAAAAAATAAGCTCAAAAGAATGTATAATTATGAAAAAAAGTGGTACCAGACATCTTAATTTTTATAGATTAAATTCAATTATTTTATTACTTTTTTATTTTTTTAAGTTAACAAGATTTGTGCTAAGTGAGAGAAAAATTAGAAGTAATTAATAAAGAATTAGCATTAGGGCATGTGAACAATGTATCAAATAACTAACAAAATTTAACTAAAATATTCTTATACTCTGCACATAATACTAAATAAATGTTAAAAATCTAGCTTTGAAGTGACAATTATTTGAGTTGACAAATGTGTGTACGAGAGAGAGATTTCTTTTTGATTTATTATATGGTAAGTTGTGTATGATAAGTTCCAATGGAAATACGTAAGATCAGTATGAAGCATATTAATTAAACGTCCCAACAGTGATCATAATAAAAGGAGTTGCATCGAGGCCATCAATGCAAAACAAAGACAAAGACGACGAGAATAATAAAGCAAGTTTCGTACAGCAAGACAAGGGCACAGGGGAAATGTCAAATTAATGTTTCGTGACAAACAATACACATAAATGAAACCATGTTATTTGGACAGGAACGTAGAAGAGATCGAGGGAACTAATTGTATCTAAATTGGGAACTTTATATCAATCAGAGCAAGGAAAAGTTGAATTTTAATACATAGAAATTACTCCAACTGCACAATGACTAAACATTTTTAGAATAAATTTCTCTTTTAAGTTTTAGACGGTGAAGGAAAGAAAAACAAACTTACAACTCAAAATTAGGTAAACCAGCATTAAAGATGAATTATTAATTATAATAAATCTTGTACATAACAGACAATATGTTTAATATTTTAAATAGAACTTGCACCAAGTCTTATCAGGTTGGTCATAGCATTTGCCTCCTATCTCTCGATCACGAGAACTTAACGACGCTCTTTTAGTCTGACTCTATATTTATTGTATTGATTCTCCTACCTGAGTAGTCTCCTGTACTAATGAATAATTTCTGATCAAATAATCTTATAGTCACATAGGCTAAAATTTGCACTACCACAATTAAGATAAAAGCGCAAGTTGACCACAACTCTCAGGGCTACTTGCCAATTCTATTACCCTTGTTGATAACTATCTACTAAAAAAATCTCAATGCCAAAATCCCTTTTAAAATTTTGTAAAAAGTCAAATTAATTGACAAAATATACTAACGTTTTTGACAAATTTATTGGTTTAAATTAACAAAAGGTAACTACCCTGTGGAACGTAACAGAAGTCTTTGTGGCCACCACTAATGTTACAATTTCTTCTAGGGTTTCTGTGAAATGACAAGATAGACCTAATTAATTGACAAGATGTACTAGTGTTTGTGACAAGTTTTTTGGTTTAAATTAACATAAGTTAAGACTCTGTAAAACGTAATTACCGGGTTTAAGTCTTCCCAACTGCCACTTATGACCCATTATAGAAATTAATTACAAACAAACACAACAGCTGGGGACCACTAAGCACTTTTTATTGCTTATTCAAAGTCGGAGTTTCGTAAGCCTACAAATTTGTACAGAAGCTCGCCGCCTTGGAAGGTCGTAGAGGGCGGATGCTCGCTAGCTGTTGTCACACAAGTAGCAGAAAGGGTGGCTGCGTGCTAGCTGTTAAATTAAGTAAAAATATAAAGTAAAAGGAGCCGTGACACATATATGAAAATATCTACACAATTTAATTTATGATCAACTGCCCAAAATTTTCTTAATTAATCATTTTTTTAATTGGGCGAATGCTTTGCAAAATTAATTAGACTCTCCCTATGGCAATATTTTTTTCTTTTCCGTTGAAAAATTATATGAAATATTTAGATTGTTCATCTTTTTATAAATAATTTTTAAATTTTATCTATTAGAAGTTTTAAGCTGAAAATATTTACAAAAATACCTCAAATTTCAAAATTTTCTAGCTTGAAATGGCCAAGATGATACAAACCCATGCCCTATAATTTCTGTTTTTTTTTTTAAAAAAAACTCATATATATATGTACACTTTATAATTAAGAAAAAAGGGGCAATTTTATAAACTAAGGTAAACACCAATGCAGCTAAAGTTTTGAACGAAGACAAAAGGTGTCAATCAAGCTACAGTTCATTTATGGCTATAAGAACAAAAAATGAATGCTTTTCTCCTCTGCGTTGCTTCTTTGTTTTCTCCTCTTTCTCTCTCCTCTCTCTTTAGATCAGCGGGCGCCGTCGACTGCTGAAGTGCAGGGCCATGGAAACTCGGGGCATCCTCGCACGAACCGCCTCGGGCGGGGTCATTTTGGGCAAGTACAGACTGGGTCGCCTCCTGGGCCGAGGCAGCTTCGCCAAAGTCTACCAAGCGCGGTCTCTCTGCGATGGCAACCCGGTGGCCGTAAAAGTGATAGACAAGGCCACAACGGTCGACGCCTCCATGGAGCCTCGGATCATCCGAGAAGTTGCCGCCATGCGCCGTCTCAGCTCCCACCCCAACATCCTGAAGATCCACGAGGTCATGGCTACCAAAACCAAGATCTACCTCGTCATGGAGCTCGCCGCCGGCGGCGACCTCACAGACGAGATTCGCCGCCGTGGCGGACGGTTCACGGAACCAACCGCCCGGAAATACTTCCGGGAGCTCGTGTCCGCCCTCCACTTCTGTCACCGACACGGCGTTGTCCACCGCGACGTGAAGCCCCAGAATCTCCTTCTCTCCGGAGCCGGCCGCGTCCTCAAGATATCTGACTTCGGCCTCTCGGCACTGCCGGAGCAACGTCGCCAAGGCCTCCTCCTCCACACCGCCTGCGGCACGCCAGCGTTCACCGCTCCAGAGATCTTACACCGGCGCGGTGCAGCAGCCCACGCCGGGGGGTATGATGGCACGAAGGCAGATGCGTGGTCCTGCGGTGTCATCCTCTTCGTGTTCCTCGCCGGCCACCTCCCCTTCGATGATTCCAACCTCGCCGCCATGTACCGCAAAATTCGCCGACGAGAATTTTCCTTTCCCAATTGGGTTTCGAAGCCGTCGAGGCAATTGATTCGGCAGTTGCTCGATCCAAATCCGGACACAAGAATGAGCATCGAGTCTTTGATGGGTCACACTTGGTTTAAGAAATCACCTTCATTTGACCAATTTGAACACTGTTCACCTCAATTAAGTTTAATACTAAACACAGAATGTAAAATTTCAACAAAAACAACTATAAATGCATTTGATATAATCTCAATGTCATCTGGGTTAGACTTATCCGGGCTTTTCGAAACAACAAATAGCCAAAGAGAGAGAAGATTCACATCGAAGGAATCAGTTGAGGGGATCACGGAGAGGGTGGTGAAGGTTGGTGAGAGATTAGGATACAAAATAGAACAGGGGAAGGGAAGGACGTTAGGTTTGCTTAAAGATAGAGTAGTTTTACTAGTGGAAATATGGGTGATGGCGCCGGAGTTAGCACTGGTGGAGATAGCGGTGATTGATGGCGGTGGGTTGGAGTTTGAGGAGCTGTATTGGGAAGATTTGAGATGTGGGTTTGAGGATATCGCTTTGTGTTGGCACAGTGACGTATCTTGAATGTTGGTTTTAATGAATTTCATGGCTGATAAGATATAGTTGGCCTATGTTCTTTATCATGTAGGGATTTGTTGTAGCTGCTCCGTTGTTTGTAGGGAACACAGGCTTGCTTTGCTTAGAGCTACTCTTTTATTGACCATGTACATCATCTTGTAAACTAAATTTTATCTGGTGTGCTAATTGCAAATTTAGTTCTCATGTTCAGTTTGTTGATGGCACCTTCCAGAAAACTTGGGTTGAAGTAAAATTGATCACAAGTTGTTGCAACTATTGACCAGATTAGTGGCTTTGCTGTTAAGACTACTTTACATTTGGGAACTTAGCTGTTTCAGCTAGTATAGTTTAAGAGCCTGCAGCCTCTGCAAACAATCTAAAATCTCTGACAAAGCTATATATGCATGCACTCTTACAGGCACATAAGAAAGCCTCTTTATGGTGAATTCAAGTAAATATCTCAAAGAGGATGATCAAAATTTCCATTTTCTAGATCTCAGTTCCTTTAAATTTGGTTCATTTTTAATTCCTCTGTTGAAAGCTTTTCGTTCAGTTTTTCCATTTTCAGTTCTCATTTCTTGTGTTTCTAAAAAGGAAACACTCAGAATCTTGAGACTGAAGACTCTTGTTGTTTTCATTTTCTAGTGAAAATGGTTTTTGAAAATTCCATAAATAATTTTTTATTATTTTCTAAAAGGAGTTTTGGAAAATTCTATCAAAACAATTCCGAGAAACAAAATGTTTTTTTTTTAAACCAAAACATAGTTTTGGGGAAAAAAAATTCAAGATTAATTAACTGAGCAATCGGAGATTACAGTTTGCCCGAGCCAACAACCCAAGCAATGAGAGTAGGATGCCTGTCGGGGGATGTAGCCATTGAGCATAATATTGAGAACGCCTTCTCAGGAAATTCTGATGCGGGATCATTTGGGTAGGTGGTGCCGGAGTTAGCGCTGGCGGAGTTCAGTTAATCGTAGGAGGTTTCGAGATATGGCTTTTGGTCTTGCAGATCGATAATGACTATAGGACTATAATTTCCTGCCAAAAATCAACGAGGAAATTCAGTGTTGACGGAGCATTAGCAGGGAAGCTGGGACTATCAGGTATTGCATTTTGGAGGTGAAATAGGAGCTATTAAAGCAAGATTTTCATTTTATATTGATACAACTGTATCCAATTATGCTGAGACTTGGGTTATTAGGATAATTTCATGGACTTGGAAGCTTCAATGATTACTTTTCCATTCACTTCTGCTGAAACTCTGGCAAAGCAACCTAGCAGAAGATCGTAAAATTTATATGCCCGATGTTGTAGCTGTGTTCTGAATGTGATCCCAAATGGAGTCCGTGCATTTGGGTTTGTGTGAGTAGGTTTTGCTGCATTTGTGTCTGCTCTCGGATGTGGAAGGGGGTTTGAGCAGGATTATTTAACTACTGTTTCGTGTTTTGGGTATCTTTTCAACTGGGTGTGGAGTAAGGATAGGGGTGGGATAGAGAGAATGGAGGAGGGAGCTGTTAGTTCTGTCGATTGGGTTTATTTAACAACTAGAATGCGCAAATGGGAGAAGGTATGGAAGCGGAAACGCCATTTCATTGCTTTGATGGGCAATGGAATGATGGTGTCTCGTGGGGGAGGGAGTTTCTTTGGATGCTATGTAGTAAGTTGTAAGAAAGCAGTAGAGGGTGCTAAAATGAACTTTCAACAAGAAAGAAACACACAAGAGATCACTTGTTAAAAAGACCAAGATATGCAATCACAAAACCGTGATCAAGAATATCAGTTATGCCGACTATCTGCACAAGGATGTTGATAATACTGACATAGAAAGGACAGGAAGTGTACATGAAGCCAATTCTCAAAATCATTGGTGTATCATGGATGCTTAGAGATGAGGCCTCGACATTAAAAGAAAAAAGGAATAGGGAGTAAGGGTTAAAATATTAGAGGAAAGGACAAATCACAAGGTTTATATACTAGTACCACATCATTAAGCAGACCTGCCATAAAAATTCCAGCTCCAACTTTAACCCGAACGACATGTCTTTTCCTGGAGTTTTAAGCTCCACCACTTTTTCTTGCTTAATCTGTCAGGCCTAAGGGAAACTCAAATGCACTGTGGCGTGTGCCGCAATGACAAGGGGATACAGACACAGACTGCCAAGAAAAGTAAGCCCAAGAAATCAATTAATTTTAGCATAAACGAAATAAAACTCTTACTGATGTAAACATGTAATGAGAATGCATTACTAATAATTCAAACAGTGCGTTTGAATGCTTTTTTTGGAAATGCTTGTTAAAAATCATAACATCTCTTTCATAGCCATTAGCCTTTTCAATTTTTTCTTCGCTTTGACTTGGAAGTACAATCAAGCATGTAATACATTTAAATAAATTAATGCTGTCCAATTACACTTAAACATGAGAGCTTTCTTGAGCTTCCTTTCATTAATACGCCAAGGATCAAGAAGATTCAAGGAGAATTTGAAGTTTTGGTAATAATGTTGGTGGACTTTAAGGTAGGATATACTCTTTGATCAATAATTTTTTAAAACATAAGCAATAGTCAAAAACAAATTAACAATATGAATAACAAATACTCAAATATAATTAACATAATTAATAGGGAAAAAACTGAACGTCCTTTACAATTTGAAATTATAAAAATCTATCTAAACCCTAATAAGAAATTAAGATAAATCAACTTCTCTTACACCAAATAATCGTGGACTGTCGAAACATTCTTTTAACTTTTCACCATAAGATTACTAGAATTGATTGTTGAATAATTGATTGTTGTCGAAAGTAAAAACATTAAGTGTTGAAGAATCTCAATGCTCTCAAGTAATGTTTGACAAATTCTCTCTCTCCCGAAAAGGGTTATCAAGCCCCCATTTTATAACCCTACATCTCTTAAAGGGTTAAGAAGTCCCTTTTAGATCACGAAATCCCAAAAAAAAAAAAAAAATGAAAATCTAACTCCAAACTTCTTAAGTATCTTCTTGAATCATGCATTTTCTCGTTTTGTATTGTAGAGTTTGTAATGAATGAAAAATGGGAAAGCGATTGAGCATTATTTGTTGTGCAAGTTATTTAGATTGAAGACATAGAATCTTTTTTTTCTTTAATTTTTATAAATTCTTTGGTCGATGGGATTCATGGCCAATATTTTCAACCACAACGTTCCAATCAATAGAGATATTGAGGAGAAAGAAAATAGATTGGTTCATGTATATGTTTGCAAAAGCGCCTATTCATGGATGATGTCAGATTAGTTTCTAGATTGACAGATGTTGAATTGCAGAAAAATTCTTGCTGATGCAAATCATGGGCCAAAGTACAAACACTGATATATATCTTGTCACGATCCGAAAATCAAATTTACAATTTAGATTTACAATTGATGCTAGGATTAGGATAATCTTAATTCCACAAATCTCTCATTCTTGAAACTATAACATAACAAAATAAAATTTAATTTAATACAGTATCCAAAGTTTGAAATAAATTTTCGAAAATCCAATACACTTATCAATATCTGAAACTCTGTATGTGATCGTAAATCTAACTAAACAAAATAATACAATAGAAAAGAAACAAGAATTGGATGCTACACTCAAAAACCAAATCAGCTGGAATCACATAAATTGAGACCAACAGACTTCTCTCACGCAGCAGGATTTGTTGGTAAAGTTGAATCTAAGTGTGAAAAAAAATAAAAGAATGAGTATAACGACACAATAAATAGTAATATATATTTACTTAACAAGCGACATACATCACATACTTTTATCATAAAAGTAAATTTTTTTTATATATAACTTCGGGAGTTCGAAATTGATAATTGAATAGAAAATAGTACGACAACCTCATGATTTGCCTGTACACATATAACAGAACATCAATCTCTTACTCGGCCGATACACATATAATAGGTCTATTATGTTAGCTCCACGTGATAATCTAGCACTGCTCGTGCTAACTAGAGATACAATCTAAGGTGCACCCAGTCTAATGCCTATTACTATTAGTTACAGTGTTCTAATAATTTGATACTCCCTTAAACAATTTTCCAGAGTTTAATAGAAACAGTTCACATGTTTTCAATATTTCAAACATATTTGTAATCAAAATCAATAGTTCACAAAATTTCCAAATAAATCAAGAAATGACATATATGTCCCTTGTGTGCTTTTATAGCAAACTTAAAATTTAAATTTTGAAATAACTAATTTACAAAACAATTTATGTAAAAACTCAAAACGAAGCACATAAATATGTACTACTACTCACAAAATTGAAGAATCACAAACTCTAAGTGTGGTCGATGCAGCTCACCAAGAGTTGAACATTCGATCCAAAAATAACAAAATCTTTATTTTAGGAACTAATATAACTTATAATTAATTTAAAACTAAACCTTAGGTTTTTGTTTGCACAGCTCACCAAGAGTTGAACATTCGATCCAAAAATAACAAAATCTTTATTTTAGGAACTACTATAACTTATAATTAATTTAAAACTAAACCTTAGGTTTTTGTTTGCAACCCATATCGGGAATTTTTTTTTTAGGTCTCTAACCAATCAAATAAACCATCTCTCACATACTAAAGCCTTGAACTAGCTCGCAAAATAATAAATCGGTCTAATTATCCTTTAAACCAACTATCAAAATACTAAACTAGTCTTGAATTGGTTACTAGAAAGTTGAACCAACTATGAACTGGTCATAATATCAATGAACCGAACCTTAAACTCACTGAACCAGTCATGAAATCCACTGAACCGGCCTTAATTACTCTGAACCAACCATAAAAGCCACTAAATTGGCTATAAAACTGTCACGCCCCAATTCGGGAGCGCGACTGGCACCAGGGTTGGCTTACCAATCCTAGGAAGCCTCCAACTAGAACAGATTAGATAAAGCATCTCACCAGAGAAATAGCTAGTATATATAAAACAAAACACTTCTGAGCTATACATGGAGCTTCTAGAATACAAAAAGAAAA